TGCTAACTGGACAAACGGCTCACGTTATGCATCTGGGGCAGCTGCTGTGCCATTCCCAAAAACGGCTTCCTAAGGTAATTTTTGACTCATAGAAAGAATAGTGCTAGAAATGGGAACCGCAATGAACAAAAACGGTCGAGCATTTTGTTCCATTTTGCTTTCTGTTCTCAGCATCTTCAAGATATTTTGGAAAGAACGGACTCGTGGTATGTAGTTTCACATCTAGTCGAAAGGCATAAAGCAACACTGGTGAGTGATCAGCCGGAAGTGTAAGGAACATTTGTTGTCTTCTGCAGGGTGAGCCCCTCGGTGGAGGATTCCCAGCAACAATAAACCCTAATCCCAAGCCAGAGGCATCCATATTTACTGCCTGTTGGTCTTGGGGGCCGCGGTCCATACGATCTCTTGCAGATTTACGATCCTGACAGATTTGGCCTTGGAATTGCACTTTTCCGACCTCTGATTCCGCCAGTAGTCACTCCCCCACCACAGGAAGATCTGAAACCGGAAGAGGTTCAACTGGCTGAGGAGTACAAGAAGACTAGCCTGATGAGGGTTCGGCAGAGAAAGAAACGTTGTCGTGAACGCAGGGCAATGCAGTGGTCAGAGACCCCGTCCGCTCCATGGGACTGCACTATTGACTTGGAGGAGCCCAAGGATCCATTCGCTGCGAATATTGAGGACTTTGAAGAGGTTTTAAGTGGAAGTTCTGAAGATGACAATTTTCGTGAAGAAAGTCTGGGGAAATCGAGGAAATTAGTAGACGGCAAAAAGTATGATGAATCGGAGAAGATCCGTGCTTGCTTGGATAGAATCAAAGAAGACCGAAAAGATTTGGAATGGCCCCCCTACCCGGAGGAGTTCCTTGCTCGCATGGAGAGACTGAAACAAGACGGAGGAGGGATGACTGAGGAAAGTCGGGGAAACGACGACTCCAGCAATGATTCGCCATCCAGTAATGATTTGCCAACCGGTGAATCCGGCAATTATTCGCCAACCGGTAATGATTTGCCAACCGGAGATGTAGCGCCAGACAAGCCCCTAGACGACGCATCTGATAAATTGACTGACATGCATGTCGCCGTTATTGAATCTTGCACCGAAGTCTTTGAAAAGTTGAGACAGCCGGTCCGCACGGATCTCTGGCGACCGCTGTGTACGAAATGGAGAACGCGGATTTGCAGCAAATCGTCTCCATCATAGTACTCTTTGTTTCTGATGTTGACACGCCAAACCAAAACTCTAGAATCGCTTTGAGTTGAGACGCAGAGTGCAAATGTGTCGAATACGAACCAAGCAAAGAATGAAAAAGAATACGAGCTAGAAGAGCAGATTCGTGATCATGCACCTCGCTGCAATGGTGCCACTAGAGCTTGGATTCATTGAGTGCGGGTGCAGTATACTCTGTTCCTGTGGCTTGACCACATTAGCAAACAAGGCCACACTTCAAGAAAGATGCAAAGCGTCTCACAACCTGATATAACTCAGCAGGTGTTCGGGTGGAATCCCTACGCTGGAAGGTGATCCAGCCAAACTTCACTCAGAGATGCGTTATTCTCCACAGAGATCCAGCAAAGGTTCAGCCTTTGCCAGAATGGGCATCAGCAAATCATGAAATAGAACAGCTAACAGATCTGGTAAATGTGGATCAGACTTCTTGTGTGACTCCTGTCTGGTGCAGTATCAACAACAACTGGCTGAATTGGTTGCGGCACACAATCTTTTATTGGTCAGTCCAGGAAATGTCGAATCGGCCACCCTCTTTGTCTTTCTAGAATGATCAAGAACGGCTCGCTGGGCTGCTTACTCCTTTCATCGACTCTGATGGAAAATTCACGGAAGCACCAGATGAATTGCTTCTACTGATGAAAAAGGTAAAATTGAACTCTGTCTGACAGTCGATTGATTCCATGCAGGGTCTCGACTACAGGCTGCAAGAGTTTGAAGAAGATTGCAGGCGGCTGCAGAAAACCGAAAGACGACTTCAACGACGGATCGATCATTGCACTCTATCGTATGAGACGAGTCTGGTTGAAGCAAAGGGATACGCGGATACACGCCTCGTTGAACAAATCAACGAACAACAGCGACTGATTGGGTGAGAGACCCTCGATTGGGACATGAAGACTTCCGCTGTTTCAGATATCAACAACATGAACTTGACGAATTGCGATTTCAACGGGATCTCTATTCCGATGAACTTTTGAGATTGAGACAGTTGTGTCGATATGGTGAGTTCAAGCCGAGTGGTCAATTCGTCAAAGCAAGCAGGGAATCTCCACCTCCGACACCTCGAACTCTCCACCGAGAATATTCGGGAGCGAAACCTCCGTACGTCATTAACATGAATTACGATGACCAATTGACAGTGTGGTGTCATTGGTCAGGTTTGCGTGGATGCGACGGATTAAGCACTCGACAAAGCGAGGAGCTGAAACGTAAGGAGCGTCGCATCGCGAACTTCTTTATTGATCCATTTCTCAGAAAAATTCCGCGTGCTGAAACTGTGGTGCGTCAGCGAGTGCAGCAAGTTCCGGCTGATCGGCCATTTGTCACGGAATCACGTTCAACTTCTCGACCGAAAGAGGAAGCCAAACCCAATGGCGGGTTCCTTGGTGCGTTATTCGGTGGCGGCGGGGGAGTTGAAGGAAAAATTGTGGAACAACAACAACCGACGACCGAGAGTAAAGCTCCCATCAAAGGTCGCCCGACGCGCCCCCCGCCGAAAAAGAATCTTTCAATAGAAGATAAACCAATAGAACATAAAAAAAGCGGAGATGTTGAGGAAGGGACAGTCGTCGATCTCCGTCATCTCTCCAGCTCGAGCAGCGAGGAACCAAAGGCGTCATCACGACGACCTTCTGGAATGGGACTTGCAGTAGGAAGTCGACAACTTTCAGTATCATCTGCAAGATCGAGTCCAAGACGATCTGCATCTCGTACAGTTGCAAGCCCCAGACCAACAACGATATCAGGCAAGATCGTTAGTGATCAATTAATACTTCATGTTATCTCCAGGCTTAATGAGCGAACCATTAGATAAAGACAAGGCATCCAAATTCTTTTAAGGGAACCCTGTGCGTCCGTTTTTTTCGATGTGACCGAATTCCTAATTTTTCCTTTTTGTTGATAGAGACCGTTTATCACTAAAGAAAAAGAAAGAGATGCTGTGGACTGAAGGACTCAACCGGACAAAACTGTCCCCTCCCGCAGAGTCCAGACGACTCGAGAAATTGAAAAGCAGCATAAAATATAGAGATAATATACAGGAACATAGAATGTCGAGATACTATACCCAACAGCAGCGTAAAATATCAAATAAAAACCACAAAATATCGAGATAAAAAATCGAACAAAAAACATAATATACCGACATACAGGAAATCTAACTCAATACTGGAGTTCCAGATGAGCGTCCATCCAAGATCGTATCTAGGACAGATTCAGCTGTATCACTGTTGTCCAACACAACGATGATTGGGAGAGATGATCCCAATGACTTCACCAAACACTCCGCCATCACACAAGCACCCTCTTTGAAGCATCTGGGAATGTGTTCTTTCCGTCGCAACTTCAAGTGGCTTAGCAACTTCAAGTGGCTTAGCAAATTAGAAATCGATTTTCCGCCACCGAGGAACTGTTTTTGCCACGGCTTCAATTTTTTGTCCCGTCTCATCGCCTCCATGATTTTTTCTTTCATATTTCGAGTAAATCGTTTTAATCTTCTCAATGACGAACCTTTCAAATCATTCAATGCCTCCATCTAAAATAGAATTGATGGATGGAAGGATTCCGACAAATGTCATTCGACGTACTTTCTCCGATGCAGTGAGTCCGAAAAAGAGCATCAACTTTCTGAACAAAGAAAACGCTGCTCGATTCCCCATACTCGCTCTTTCTTTGAGATTATCGAAAACCCTGTCGATATTATCTTCATGAATCAAGGAATCATCTTCTTCATCCTTCAAAGTCAGGCGTTCAGATCCACTAAACACAAATTTCTTGTTGTCAATTTCAACGTATTCGGCGCTACGAAGCCAAGTATCAAGTTCTGTGAATAAACAAGAGTAGAAATAACGAGAGATACCAACTATTGATTCCTTACTCGGTATTTTCAAACAAATGTGAGCGCGAACTGATGCGGCGTCAACTTTCTGCAAGCAGAGAAATGGCACTTCGGCCGTAACCCTCGATGAACGAGAATTCATCTCGATGAAATCACCTTCAGCGCCTAATAATCAGAATCAGAAGAGATGCATCCAAGACTAACTTACAGGATTTGGCCAACAAACGGTCTGAAAAAATGGGCAACGTCAACTCGAGAGCCGGTTTATCTCTGACCTGATTTCCGAAGCTGCCCTGATCGTCTCCCTTGATACGCCCCCCTCCGTTCTTTGCAAGAGGTCGAGGTCTCGGTACTTCTTCGTTAGACCCATTTTTGCCTTAAGCATCGCTCTTACGGTGCGATCTCGGGTGTCGTTCATCATCATCATGGTCATGGGATCCAAACTAATATCCCGCTCTGCTTTGCATGTTGAAGCCTCAACGAATTTGTCGAGATGGCTAAGCGCCGAAAACCCGATAATAATCCCAGCGCATCTCGATCGGCGTGAATCCGAATTCGAAAAAAAAGTAGGATGTCGAACGCGAATGCTCATTCTTTCACCGGGACTGCTAGCAGACCCCCAAACATGCGGGGCCTTAACCCTTTTGAAATTCACAGAAGGAACTGCTAACGGTGTCTAGCGTTTCAATTCTGGTGTGTGACTTCCTTTTGTGTGATCGGTGATCCTGACCGTACAGCATGAAGAGCGACGCAATCGTCATTTGAACCAACAACGAAGCATGCACTCAGCGCACCCCTTGCTTCCAATTTTATCAAGCAGTAGGAATCGAACGCTTTCTAATGCGCATGATTCTCCTCAATAGAGGCACAAATAAACCGTATAAGGTCCAACCTGAGTGGTGGGACAGAAGTCAGATTCTTACAAAGGCATCAAATGGGGATCAATGAAAAGGAACAGCCACAACGATCCTTGAGTTCCCATGAAGGACGAGGGGAAAGGTCCCTTCCTAGACGCAAAGGGAATAGCGGAAGTCAGAGTAGAAAATCAAGTCCTTCGAAGGAAGATCGACGAAGGGGGAGATCGACATCATCAGTTGTCCCAAGAAGTTCACCAATGGAAACTGAGGACGATACTTCTGATAGAGGGATTGTCGTCACCAATTTGACGCGTGCCGTTACTCAAGGTCATATCAAAGAGATCTTTGCCCTTTTTGGGACAATAGTTGATATTCAATTAATGAAGGATCCAGTGGTATGCGTCATCACGGGATTTAGATTGATTGACGATTTCAGAAACCCTCTCGGTCGAAGGTCGTTGTTTTATTTGAGAGTGCAGAAGAGGCTTCAACTGCGCTTAGACATATGGATAGAGTAAGCAAATATTGAAACATGAGACAAACAAAAAAGAAATATTTGCTCTTGTATTTCTAGGGACAGATTGATGGGGACTGCATTCGAGTCTCCACAATGAAGCACCCCGAAAAGCGACCAAAGGAACCACGAAGGTCGCCGTACAGAAGTCGTTCACGTCAGATGTCGGAAGATCGTACATCCCGTCGCAGAAATCCAGGATTTGGGACGAGCCGACGAGGCAGACGGCCGTTTAGAGGAAGGTACGAGATTCCTCTGAATCCAAAACCTCCACGTCCCAAAACCTCCACGTCCCAAAACCCCCAATTGTGACTTCAGGTCTCGTTCACCGCAGCGACGCCCCTTTCGCCCCGCTCAGAAATCTCCCCTCCGCCGTCGGTCTGCTTCATCAAGTCGTTCTCCGTCACGTGGTCGTCGTGCCGACAAGCGACGGGCTTCTGCGAGTCTTTCTCGTTCCAGGTACGAACGCTTCGGACATCCCTCGCCAATCTGTCCTTTTTCAGTTGGTCATCTCCCTCGCGCAGTCCTCAAAGAAGTTCTCACTATCGAAGCAGAACGCGGTCAATCTCCCTGGATTCTACTGGTCGTCGTCGCCGCGATACAACGAAGAGAACTCGCAATTATTGAATTACAGATTTTTCATATCTAGAAAACCAACTTGTATAAATTAGCAACACATTTGCACAACTGGCTACAAGTGGGATGAGGGAGCCAAGCCCCATGGAGCCAGCGTCACCAATTCTTCTGCAGCAGTTGGATGAATAGCAACGCATTTGTCGAGATCAGACTTTGTGGCTCCCTGAAGCAACAGAAACATGTTCACTAAGATGTCGATCGATCTTTACCATTTTGATAGCAACACCGAACCCTTGCAACGCTTCATCCGATCCCATTCCTACGAGGGGGTCGACAATGGGACAAGTCGACTGTCCCAAATGTGTGTTCTTACCAATCATATGAAGGCCAACTATCAACTCATTCGGAAGTAAACAGATGAGCTTCATATGAATTCGAGGTTTATCCGAGGGAGGAATATCGAAAACACTGTAATAGAGATTGACCGAAACTGAGGAATAAAACTGCAGAAAACATGAGAACCAACCGAGTTTGTTTCGTACCTTGAGATTCTCCTTTCCGTATTTTTGGATTGCTTCCTCTTCGGTTAACCCAATCGTCCCTATAGGTGGGTGAGAGAAGACAACAGTTGGGACATTTTCATAATCAGCCTTTGCGTCTTTCATTCCATTAAAGAGGCGATCTGCGAGACGACGTCCTGCCGCAATTGCCATTGGCGTTAATTCAACCTGAGAAGACGGTCGACACCAACTCGTGCGGCTGAACATACCTTTCCACAAACATCTCCAATCGCGTATAAGTTAGAAATGCTGCTTTCTTGGAAATCATTGACTTTGATGTAACCCTTTGACGTCTCAGTCGCTACATTCCCCAGCACAGACAAGTTCAGTGATTTCACATTGGGACTTCGTCCAATAGCCACCAACACTTGATCAAAACCTGACACCACTTCGCCATTTTTGGTTCCAACTGTGAGTAATCCAGTTTTTGAATCTTTTTGAACAAAATCGATTATTGATCCTAATCAAAGTCCCAATCAACGATGCTCAATATATCAGCAGACGTACCGGGATGCATTTGGACTCCTTGCTTTTCCATTTCTTCATGAAGCTTCGTCCGAACCATTTCATCGAATTTTCTTAGAGCAGTGGATCCTCGGGTGAAGAGATGCGTTTCCGTTCCCAAGAGACGAAACACTCCAGCAAGCTCCACAGCAATATACCCTGCCCCAAGAACAGCCACCTTCTTTGGCTGAGTCTCCAAGGAGAAGAAGTCATCGGAGTTGATACAATATTCAGATCCTGGAGCTTCAAGCCCATCAGGAGAACTGCCAGTTGCAATGAGAACGTTCTCCGCCGTAATAATGTTCTCTCCCACCTACAAATTCAAAGTTCAGAACCCCAGCATCGCGATGAGCGGATGACTTACTTGAATCTGAAACCCCTGCTCGTTCTTCCCAACAAAAGTTGCTAATGCATCAAAGTGTGTAATTCCGCTTGATTCGAGATTGCTAATATAAATTCCATTCAGTCGTTTGATTGAATGCTCCCGTCGAGATTTCAAATGACTCCATGAGAACTCTGGATGTTCCTTAAGTTCAAAACCTAATTATTAGAAATGTCCCACAAATATTCAAGAGAACAAACCTTCTCACCATAAAACTTTGATTCGTGTAGCATTTCCTTCACAGTTGCAGCCCACCACATTATTTTCTTGGGGACGCACCCTACATTGACGCATGTACCACCCCATCTTCCGTATTCTGCGATTCCAACTTTCACTCCATAAGACGCAGCTCGTCGGGCAGACGCAATTCCCCCAGATCCTCCTCCAATCACAAAATATCTGAAATGCATCCCTGGTGTCTAGATGTGTGCCTGGACGGCATTCCGGTACGTCTTCACAAAAATTGTGGAACACGCAATTGCGAGAGCAGAGCAGAAACTCGCTCTCGTGAGGGTTCTCAGATCAACGCAAGCATGTCGAGTGCAGGACGTTCTCATTATGCGTCTTTCATGAATGCCCAATGGTTTATGTTTGGCAGTGCCGTTGGGTTCGGTCTGACGAATCCCTCTCGGGACAATCCAATGGAAGTTTTTCCAGTCTTTCGTCAAAGATACTACGCAATCATTGCGAAATTCACAGTTAATTATGAAGATCACAAAGACTTCGAATACTTTACGAAAGACACGATCCGATTCTATCAACACAATCAAGGTGAGTGTATGTCTAATAGAACCAATTTGATCTCTTTCAATGCAGGATACTTGTTTTCTCATTTCCTTCGTGCTCGTGAAGATTCACAGCGAGATGATGGTGGAACAGCTTTGTCATACTTTTTAATACAAACATGGGCGACAATGGCGCCGTTTAAAGCCGCATTCAACTCTCCCTATAGACAGGAACTGACAAGAAGCGCATCACCGACTTGCGAGTATCACCCGCAGGTCCTCAAAATTGTTGCTGATGACTTCGAATTCCACCCAAGAGCAACGACCAAGGAACAACGAAGGATCGCAGACCGACAAGCCATGGTACAAGTTGTGAAGGATCTCGCGGCTGCTAAAAAAGAACCGCACTAGGGATCCACAAGCGTCAACTTTTTTTCCTGTTTCTTTTTCACACACTGCGTATAATGTACAAGGTGATTTATACCTTTCCTATGAATGCAAAGACCTACGTTCTTGAAATATTTTGAACCGAGATAGGATCGAATCACGAGGGCTTATCACCATTCATCTGGTTGCACAGGTGCGAGCAAGGAAAACCTCTTGATGGACGACTGTCAGGCATTCAACAACGTCGATGCTGTTCCACAGGCACGTGCCCAGACACCAGACTTTCAATCAGAAAATGAGTTCTGACTTGCAGAATGAACTGTATCGCTTACAGGGCCTGGCAAATGAGATGGATACACTACACACATCATTGACTCAGCTGTTGGAATCGGTTCCTATCATTCCAAAGACGCCGTCCTCTACTTCACCTCAAATGGAGGGGATCACTGAAGAAATATTGAAGCAGTTTAGGAGTCGCGTGGCACGGAGGATTTGTTTCTATGGAACTCATTTGCGAGAATACCATTCGTTATATGAGAAACTTTCAGAAGGGGAAGATAAAGAGAGAGCAGGAGAAATCTATAATTCAAATAAAGAAAGTCTTACAAAGTGAGAAAAGTTGTGAAGTGAGACGCTAATCTAATCGCGATCGTTGATTTCTGCTTTTAGCTTTAAAACCCAAATGTCTTCATGGTGGAGAACAATTGAGCGTCAATTTCATCGCCTTCGGGTTGCGTCGTTGCTATCGGAAGATGGAGGGAAACAGAAGAAAACCAGCGGGTCTTGGATCGCAGCACTCAGAAACACATCTGGATTAACAACCGGGTCTAAACTAACTGCTGGGCTACACGATATCAAACGAAGCATGGAAGTTGAAGTTGAAAGAATGGAGGCAACAACACAAGCCTTGGGTAAGTTTAATTCTGATATGATGGTACTCTCCTTTTCTCTTCAGAAATGTCATCGAAGAAGCTTGCTCAAACAGACTCACTCTTTGGAGAATTTGGAACACATTTAGCAAGCGCAAGGAAAAAACTTAAGAATTTAAAGCGGAGGTGCGGTTTTTAAATTTCGTTTATTTTCACTTATTCTTCTTTGTTTCAGAGCTGAGCGGGATAGCACATACGTCTGGTGGGCATTCCTTTTCTTCGTTTCTGTTTGCTTCTTCATTCTGGCTAAACGAACTCGTATGCTACGGATTGCTGTCTGGGTATGATATTCTGCTGTCACTTTGATTCATTCTCCTTTGTAGATGATCCATAGGGGCTGCGGAGTGATTCTATTTGCAATTCGCTCCACGTCAAGTTTTGTCTCTCCTTTATTTCCATCCAAAAATCGCGCTGAACTACGATCACTCACAGCGACCACGTATTCACCACCATTTTCTTCCACAACATTTGCTTCGCTGGAAGATGGGAATCCAGGCGTGAGAATGTTTACCGCTCCACCAAGTGTCAAGAAGAACCTTCAGAAAATCAGCGAAGAAGATATTTGTAATAACGTGGCCTTTGCAGAGAATGAAAATGTCCGGTCTAATTGCAAAAACCCGATGCGGGAAGAGATCGCAAGAAAAATGGATAAGGAAGGACATCATTTGACGTCAGAACCTCCTGAGCACCCGCCACTAGAAAACAATTCGGCTGAAAGAGATCAGAGATTGAAAGAGGAGCCTCCAGTAATGCATGCCCACAAAGAACAAGAAGGCCATGAACAAGCGGAACATCTTGCTGAAGAAGAGCGAGTTCATGGGGAAGCAAAGCCTCTTGCTCAAGCGGTTCACGATGAGCAGCCAGTCATAGAAGAACAGTCAGTCCGAAAACATGAGAATCAGCCAAATCAAGAAAAGCATCTAGTGCAAAAACAACCAGTCATACAACAGGAACGGCCAGAGGTGGAAGAGCATGTTCAAGCAGTTCACGAACAGCCAGCCGGACACCCAACCATAGAAGAACCATCAGTCCGAGAACAAGGGGTTCAAGGAAACGATCGAGAGAAGAATCTAGTACAAGAACAACCAGTCGTTCAAAAGGGACAGTCCGAACAACATTTAATTCTCGAAGAGCATGTTCAAGCAGTTGACGAACAGCCAGACGGACAGCCAGACGGACAGCCAGCCGAACAGCCAGCCATAGAAGAACAATCAGTCCGAGAAGAAGGGGTTCAAGAAAATCAGCCCGATCAAGAAAGGCATCTAGTGCAAGAACAACCAGTCATACAACAGGAACGGCCAGAGGTAGAAGAGCATGTTCAAGCAGTTCACGAACAGCCAGCCGGACAGCCAGCCATAGAAGAACAATCAGTCCGGGTTCAAGAAAATCAACCAGATCAAGAAAAGCATCTGGTTCAAGAACAACCAGTCGTTCAAAAGGGACAGCCAGAACAACATTTAATTCTTGATGAGCAGCCAGCCATAGAAGAGCAATCAATCCCAGAGCAAGGAGAGAGTCAGCCAGATCAAGAAAAGCATCTGGTTCAAGAACAACCAGTCATACAACAGGAACAACACCCAGTGCTGGAAGAACAACGTGAGAGGGAAACATTTCCGGTTCAAGCAGAGCAACATTCAGAAAAGCAACCATCCCAAGAACAACCAATGGAACACAACGTTTCCGAAATGCCAGTCGAAGTTGTTGTCGATCAGCAATCTGGCGAGTCCCAAGAAGCTTCTCTCGAACAGCCAACAGTATTTGAAGAAACTCTACAACAGCCAATATTGGCGCGGTGATGGGGACCTTCATCTCGGTATGCTTCCACTCTAATTTCGTGCAGCGCAGTTGGGGGATACTTTTTGATTTTTTCCTGTTTCATTCTGCTCCGAGCGCGTGAGTTACTTTTTTTGAAGTATTTGATCAAGGTGTTCTGGTGTGTGTTTTGGTGTGATGTGTGTGACCGGGTAGCGTGTAATCTGTGTGACTCAAATTCATCAGGACTTTTGCTAGAGTGTTAAATGCCAAAGAGAATCCGAAAAAGTCAAACTGTAAACAATCGCGAAAATGAATCTAGAATATCGCAAAGAGTGCAATCGCCGGCTTCCAATCGGAAAGCTGCTCACGACTCTGAAAGCAGCAAACCAGAAGCATTGAGGGCGTCCCGATTTGGGGGAAAACCCAACAAAAACTTGATTGGCAAAATGATCATCCAGCACTCGCTAAAAGCTTTTGAACCGGGATTTTCCGAATCAGCCATGGTCCCCCGCACAGAAGAATTCAACGAACTCAAGGGTCTGGTTTCAAAGTATGGCTGAAGATGTCTAAAATTGATGTGCCTGGTTTTTTGTAGTTCCTCAGGTTCTCACCCTTGCATTTACGTCTGCGGCGCGCCGGGCACAGGAAAAACGTCCACAATACTTCAGCTTCTCAGATCGATACAAAGTGAAACAGATGGTAATCTCGCAATTGAAATGTTTTTGGCATTTAATGTTTGCAGCGTATGAGTATTCATATGTTAACGGTGTCATGATCTCGTCCATTCCTGAACTTCTTGCAAGCTTCGTCCTTCCATGCCCTAATTTGGAATTAAAAGTCAAGCAACGGAAAAAGACCACCGAAAACCTTACTTCCAAAGTCACCCAGGTATGCCCGCCATCAAATTGACATCATTTTTTTCTTCATAAGGCCTTTAAAACCAAAGGTCTTTCAGCGGCTTTGAATTTGATCGAAGAATCTCGAAGAGGCAAAAAACGGTGCGTTGATACTGATGTCCCCTCTCTTGCAGCCCTCTTCTGAACAGGCTGCTGATTGTGCTTGATGAAGCCGATCAAATTAACAATCTTCGAGGAAATTCCACACAAGGAATCAATACAAGGCAACAAGGTATCTATCGACATATCGATGAATGTGAAATAGTTGTGTCCTCCAGTCAAATCGACATCAAAGCAGTCCAAAGGGTTTCTTGAAGAGTTGATTCGTGCAACCCTTGAATCAAAAATCGTGTTAATTGGTAGGAGAGATTTCCAATCTTCGACGACATTCCTTGCTTCAGTTATTTCGAATTCGCTTGCACTTGGATCGTCTATGAGAGAGTCGATTCTCAGTGAACCAATTACGTCGGACAGAAAGAAGAGTTCTTGCGTAAAGGAGAGTTTGAAATTGGTTGTCTTTCAAACTTATGGGGATGAAGAACTGAAATCTATTCTGGAAAAGCGTTTTAATCTAGCGAAAATAGAAACCTTGCAAGAATTGAAAAGCGAGTTCAAGGAAATCTCCGAAGATGTGGAAGATTACATAGAATCATTTAAGCCGATTGAGAGTGTTGCTCTGACTCTAATGCTTAAGAAATTAGCTGTTCATCAGGGTGACTGCCGTCAACTGTTAGATATTTGCAGGTGAGTTTGACTCGTTGGAAGTTCATCTTGCACATAGCGATCTGTCACAAAGGTGTTTTCGGATGGAAGAAAATTGATTTTGTTTTTTTAGAGATCTTTTGAGTCGAAGGCTTCAAGAATTACACAATTTGAGTTCAGTGCGTGATAAAAAACGGTCTCATTGTTCTGAAAGCGAGGAAGAATCCATGGAATCTCCGTTTAAAAAAATAAGATCTGATTCCTCAGATGAAAGCATCAACGAATCAATAGAAGAGAGAGATGCATCGATAGCATCAACGAGTGCTTCTTCAGATTCTTCATCCCCTTCTAGAAATACTCCAATAACGCGTCGACGAAAACAAGAACTGCCAGCATCATTATCAAAATCTAGAGTAGGGCCGAGTGAAGATTCCAGGATGAGGGACAAACAACGAGCTTCAGATCTCGAAGAACTCTCTCAACAAATTAAGTCGATCTCCTTGAGAGAAACGCAGACAGTCATGGCGTCATTCTTTCAGCCTCCGAAACGGCACTTCACGCCTATCGTATCGCACGCCCCGTTGCACCAGCAAGTTCTCCTTTTCTCTGTTTGCCAAACTGTCAATGCAAAGCTGAAAGGAAGTCCAGAAGAGAAGCAGCGAGATTTTCAATCAGATGGTTCTGCTCAAGAGAAGCAGATCAAAAGAAATCAAGTTTCCCGCGAGTTTGAATGGTGTGTGGACACCAATATGGTCCAGGTAGGAATCAAATCATCCAAAGTCGTCATGCATTTCTTTACGCAGAACAATTATAAAACGTTTTGCAAGGATCATCATTTAATCGAAGAATACAACGCAATCAATTTAATGGATGGTCTATCGGGATTAGAACAAAGCGGTCTTTTGAGTAAGTGTTGAAATTAGAAGTCATAGAGATTCCTCTGTATTTAGAAATTCATCAAAAGAAGAAAACGGTGTCTAAATCCCGATTATCACGTACGAAACCAGCAATGATTGAATTGATTATTGAATCCTCAAGTATTTCGGAAATTCTCAGCGATCTCAAATCAGTTTTCAAGCGAACTTTAATGAATGATGTTTAGTCGCTTATCGCCATCATCATCATCAACCCAATGTTGGTGGTCTGTTTTCTTCTTAATGCTTTTCTCTTCCATTCCTTGAATCAATGCGTTTTGATATTAATAGGTTGCAAATCGCAGTTTCTAGTCTTTTTTGTCAACAGCTCCATCGTTCCTCAATTCTCCACACTCCGAATGAACGAATACAAACATTTCAAAAAACGACGGTGGAGTCTATCTTTGTCGCTATGAGTTGTTGGCTTGGGATTTTTGTCTTGGCACTAACACTAACTGGAGGAAGTTCACTGGAAGATCAACAATTACTAACTGGAGGAAGTTCACTGGAAGATCAACAATTACTAGAGTACAACAAAGATGAAAATCCAGTGAATCAACGCTTCTTGGCATTTCCCATCCCTATTGAAATTGTTAGCTATTCCCCTCCTGAGCGACCGACCAGTGCGCAGTGGAATGGTATGCCATGGAGTATCAATAGTTGGTGAACGAAATGTCTATTGTAGGAAACACTGTAGACGCGTTGCCATACCCGGAACAAGGAAACACTGTAGACGCGTTGCCATACCCGGAACAAGGAAACACTGTAGACGCGTTGCCATACCCGGAACAAGGAAACACTGTAGACGCGTTGCCATACCCGGAACAAGAAAACACTGTAGACGCGTTGCCATACCCGGAACAAGCAAACTCGAGGCCATCTCATCCACGGAAACAGGAAGAGGATCGAGGGATTAATAATACTCCTCACTTCATTCGAACATTTGAAGTCATTGAGAATGATGAACTTTTAGCTCGCTTCGTTATTGAAGAGATTGAGGAAATTGAGGAAGCCGCTAAGAACAAATCTAACAATAGCCCTGAAAATGAATTGCTGGCCGTTGGGGATGTTGAACACAGCGAGCAGATGCGACCGCGACTGAGAAGAGCCCAAGCCATCACTCGTTTTTCTGGCCCATTTATTGGTGAAGAACAATTCCATTCATTTGTTGCGTTTATTTTATTTGTTCTTTTCAGGATTTCCTCGTTTTCAATTTCAGCACATCGATTGCAGACTTCGTGGCGGAATTTATGGGGCATACAGTCCTTGTATCACCCCGGCATTGGCAGCTTCAAATTATCTTGATCCAGTAAATTTCTATTCGATAGAAATCTTCGCAGTTGTCTATTTTCTCAGGTGCGCAATACAATCCTAGCATACGATCCATTCAGCATTTTACGAAGTGGAAGGACTTTCGCTCAAAATGCTGGATGGATATAGACTCGTTTTTTTCTCTTTTTTTGCTACGAACACAAGACGATCTCTAGACCGAAGTGAAAATGACAATACTGAGTGAGTTATATATACTGAGTGAGTTATATATACTGAGTGAGTTATATATACTGAGTGAGTTATATATACTGAGTGAGTTATATATACTGAGTGAGTTATATATACTGAGTGAGTTATATATACTGAGTGAGTTATATATACTGAGTGAGTTATATATACTGAGTGAGTTATATATACTGAGTGAGTTAACGGATTGGAATAGCGTCCTACTTTTTGGGGCGTGCGGTGCGCTGCTATCTGTCCTTGAAACCCCAAGGGAAATTATTATTTGCACCCCTAGCCGTACCAATAACCGCATCAGGTCTCCAAGGTTCGCAGCCTCTGGTCATTAGACTAAAGTAGTTAAGGGAAGTCGGCAAAACAGATCCGTAACTTTGGGAAAATGAGTGAGTTATATATACTGAGTGAGTTATATATACTAAGTGAGTTATATATACTGAGTGAGTTATATATACTGAGTGAGTTATATATACTGAGTGAGTTATATATACTGAGTGAGTTGTATATACTGAGTGAGTTGTATATACTGAGTGAGTTGTATATACTGAGTGAGTTATATATACTGAGTGAGTTATACTGACGTTACTGAGTGAGTTGACAAGAGTGAGATGGTTCTCCTGCGAACAGATGGTTCACCTGAAATTCTGAATGGAACGGAATCATCTAGCGTACAAAGTGTTTGATCCGGATCTTGTAGGGAATTCATCTCCAGAACGAATTCGTAACGTGTGCGTTCTAGCGCATGTCGATCATGGTGAGCTCCAACCAGACAGGATGGACTCATTCATCCCTCAGGCAAAACAACTCTTTCTGATCATCTCATCTCTTCTAATGGATTAATCAGTCAACGCTCAGCTGGGCAGTTACGATTTCTTGACTCGCGTGAAGATGAACAACGTCGCTTGATAACAATGAAGGCCAGTTGCATCACACTGAGCTTTATTCCGGAAGTCGACTCTCAGCCATACTGGATCAACCTGATCGACTCGCCAGGCCACGTCGATTTTTCTACTGAGGTCATTCCTTCATCCATCAACAAACGCCTGATCTCGTTTCTCTGTCCAGGTATCCGCTGCGACACGTCTGAGTGATGGAGCCTTAATCCTTATTGATGCCATTGAAGGAGTATGCCCTCAGACGCGACAAGTTATTTTGCGGGCTTTCGCTGAACGAACGAAACTTCTTCTTGTGATTAACAAGTGCGTTGTGGAATATCTCTCTTATCATCAATGCTTTGAACAGGATGGACCGTCTTTTCACTGAGTTATGTTTGTCTCCCTCTGAAGTTTATTCCCACTTATGTACAATTTTGGAACAAGTGAACGTGACAACGCAACAACTATTAGTAGAGGAAGCGATGCGATCTTCAGTAACGAAAGCTCCAGAGACGGATGAAGACATTAACACTCAGGTGCAACTGAAATGGCTAAACTGTTTCAATTTTGTTGTCTTTTGTAGCATTTTGAAATTGATGACGAAGTTGAAGCTGAAGTTCAATTCAGCCCAGAAAAACGTAATTGCCTGCTGGCCACGTCCAAAAAGACAAACGTGTTGTTGTTACTGTTTCTTAACAGAAAACGTCGTGTTTTGCTCTTCTCTGCACAGCTGGGCGTTTGACCTGAAGACGTTCGCTCGAACTGTTGCACAGAAGTTGGAACTTCCTGATAAGGTGCGTCTCTGATTTTTGTAAATCAGGGGTTCGTTTCTGTATGAGATGGTGATAACAGGCTATGGTTGTAACAGGCCATTCCAAAACTGACAGCAGCATTGTGGGGAGATTATTATTTGAACCCAAAGACCAAAGTCATTTCAAGAAAGCCTCCCAGAAGCGCAAGCAATCCGATGATCATCCAATTGGTTTTCGATCAGCTGTGGAAGGTGAGACACTGACGAAGTGGAATAATGGAATACGTCTCTCTGTACTTCAGGTGTACAATTGTACTGTACACAATTTCGATAGAACAAGCGTTAATAAAATCCTGCATGGTTTGAACTTATCCGGAGCTATCAGAGATGCGTCAAGCCTGAAAGACAGCAATTCAGCAATCAGAGCTATAATGTCCGCATGGTTGCCATTGTCAACAAATCTTCTTGTAAGTCTTTGAATCTGATGATGACCACATGCCTTTTTGATCAGAAAGCCATCGTTGACAAGCTCCCAAGTCCGGTTGAATCGTCTGAACACAGATTGGTGCAATTGCTACCAGGATTCAAAACCTATGTTCAAGGAATTGATGCGAAGATTGACAATTCCTCGACAAGAAAGGAGAACAGCGAGGCAAATCCTGAGAGGCTTCGCGTCTACGATTCATTGAGAAAATGCGGAACAAACCCGGATGATCGCATCGTCATTTATGCTGCGAAGTTCTTGGGAGCCGATTTGAGGAATTTAAGGTTAACTGGAGACAAACTGAGTGGTGTGTACACCCTTGGCGTCGTTGCTCTATTTTGCATGAACAGGGAATGAGAGGCTCTCGGATTTTGTGACGATCTCAAGAGTGTTGAGTGGAACCGTTTCAGTAGGGACTACTCTTTATGTCTGTGGAACTGAATTTGTTCAAGTGAGTTAGATTGTAACAAAGTTGAGTGGCAGTATATCGTATCAGTGATCATATCGTAGCGACTCCGTTATGTAATCCATTCAATACTCGAATTATCTTTCTATTACAGCAACGATGTTTGTCGTCATCGAGCGAAGAGTCAACAACTCAAACATCGACTGTCATTGTCAGTCGGATGTTTTATCTTTTAGGACAGGATCTGGTCGAAACGAAAATGGTACTGAGCCTCTGATAAACTCCATTAGAGACCATCTTGAGATTGAATCTTGATGTTGTTCAGGTTCGCGCTGGCGCTGTGGTTGCTCTGTGTCTTCAGAGGCCGTCAGTTGATGATGGATCCACTGATAGTCATCAGATCGATGACGTACTTGCGTGGGTGATGTCGCTTAGAGATCCTCACGCGAAGAGACAAGCTCTCAATCGTGGTGTAGAACTCCGGGTGAGAATGCGAAGTCACTAGAGGACGACGTTATACAACGCTGCGAACTGAAGTTTTTAGTATTCTGTCTTGCTTTCCATCTTTCTGAACAGACTGATCGGACTCTTTCAAGCATCGATCGATGTATCACTCTTTCGGATTCCCCTTTCTGTCCGCCGTTGAAAACTCCATACTCTGAAGTGAGCAGTGGTTGGACGATCCCCGCGTATCAGAAACCATTTTCTTGCCAGATCTCATCCGCGATTGTTCGCGTTTGTTTGGAACCAAAAGACCTTCAAGACACGACTGCAATGCTACGAGGCCTTGCCACGCTCTATAAAGCAGATCCTGGAGTCGAAGTAGACGTTCTCGATAGTGGCGAGGTGACATTGGGATGTTCCGGCGAAGTGCATTTGGACAAATGTATCAACGACCTTCAGAACCTTTACGCCCAAGTGGAGATTAATGGTGAGTGCAGATTGTTCTGGAAATCTTAAGAGTCTGCTGGTTTCAGTTTCAGCTCCTGTGGTTGCTGTACGGGAAAGTCTTTCGTTTGCTCAGCCCTCATTGCCAACGCAATCAATCTCTACTGCCGTTCCGTTTCCCCCGTGGGCTTCCGTTGTGTCCGAAAAACTTGGAGGAATCGAAGAAGATCCCAACACGGTACACACGTGTGAGGAATCTGATGTCCCAAATCCTGCATCTGACTCACACTATGATGGAGGTTTGAAACATTCCTTTCCGTCAATTGGAGCCTCATTGCAAATGGAATCTGACAAAAGCAACGTAGTGGTTGGTGTGACACCGAACAACGTCTACGCATTTAGAATGCGAGCTGAACCTTTACCAGGCGCTGGTGAGTTGAAAGTGTAAACTCCATGCTGTGTTGGATGGTTGTTTTTTTGTGCAGTTCTGGAGTGGTTAGATCAGAATGCAGCAGAACTGCAATTGAGACTAAGCCAGCATGATCACCATTTGAAGGACCCAAGCCTCTATGGATCTCAAGGAGATATGGACTTTGCAGACTTGGATTCCCTCGATCAAGATATTGCAAATCTTTGGGAGCATTCGTGGGACAGCGACCAAGAACCGAGTGTAGATCAGGAGCATTCCATATCCAGCAATCGACTTCTTCGGGCCCCCAAGGATTCGTTGAGCGTGTTCTCTGGCTCAAGGCGCAGTCCTGGACGTCTTCTTGGCGTCGCTGTTTCTCGTGGAAGTCGCAATCTTTTTTTCTGGTCTGTTGAATCTGGGCAGAAGCTTCCAGGTCGGTTCACACTGTGTTGTGCATTTTTCATCGATTCTGTACAGATGACCATTTCTCCGAGATTCCTTCTTCCCTTCGTCGTCTTCTCCCTTCTATGATTACTGGATTTGAGTTGGCCTCTCAATCTGGTCCATTCTGTGAAGAACCAGTTGTGTGAGTCTTCGCTGGCGGTTCCAAGTTCTAACTGTCGTTCATTGTAGGGGTGTTGCGTTTTGTATCGAAGCTTTCACAAATCAGGGCGGTATTGTTGATGGAGGAGCAGTCAATTCATCCATCGGAGACTCTCCAAGTGCAAAAGACGACAAAGCGACAACAGTAGCTAGCCAACCATACGGTCCCGTCTCTGGGCAGGTAACTACTGGTTGCTGAGTGGCTTGTCCAAACTGTAAAAAATCAGGTCATCAGCTGCATCAAGGATTGCTGTCGTCGTTCTCTAATGCAACGAGGTCGCGTCCGAATCTACGAAGCAGTGCAACGTCTTGGTGAGGCTTCCTTTTGCCACGCGCTTGTATTGTTCCTCTTTGTAGAGCTGCACTGTGAGCAGGAAGTTCTTGGACGCGCTTATGGCGTTTTGTCAAAGCGACGGGCTCAAATCGTTTCCGAAGCGCTTCGTGAGGGAACGAGTCTCTTCGCAGTTGAGGCGTTTCTTCCAATTATTGAATCGTTCGGATTAGCACTCGAATTAAGGAGTCGAGCAAGCGGTCAAGTTTCATTGCACGTGCAGTTTTCGCACTGGCAAATGATAGAGGAAGATCCTTTTCCCGAAGCGTTGATGTCAGAAGAGGTGAGTGTGAATTGTAGAGGAAACGATTAAAGGGCTTCACGCAGGAATTGGAGGATGAGGGGGAGTCAGGATTCCTTAGTTTTCCTTCAAATATCTCGCGAAAGATCATTTATACAATTCGCAAACGAAAGGTGAGGTCTCCATTCACTAGCTTCAGTTGTGTAAAATGTTGCAGGGACTGCCAACTGACGAGAAAGTTGTTGCCACAGCAACAAAGCAACGAACCCTTACGAGAAACAAATAGTTGCCATCTTTATGCTTCGCGTCGTTCATGTTGTGCTAGCAGTACAAATGAGTTGACTTACTGGCCCAGGACATTCATGTGAACACAGCCACTTGAGAGTACACTTATTGAGTACAGACCACACAGTGACAGTGACCTTCTGTGGGACACAAAAGATGTGCCTGAAAATGTTGTTTTTCGGCATCGCCTTGCTTTCCATCTGTTGGGGTGCAGATGCGTGGTTCAAGACGGTACGGTTTCAATCCCGACATTTCAATTCTGTTCGTTTCATTCAGGGACATTTTCTTATCGCCCAAATTGCGAAAACCAATCTCCCCGACTCTCAAATCAAATTAATTGAAGGACAACTAAGACATTTTGATGTCTTCTATCCAGGTAAGATCCAAGTTTTTTTTCTTTTTATGTTCCGATATTGCAGGGAGCTCAAGCATTGTCTCCTGTGCCACTTGGGCTGACCGGCTCAAGTACAACGACATTGGGCTAACTGTAGGTTCATAAAGTGTTTCCAACTGATAACGCGCTTCATTCCAGTTGTTCGATTCTCTTCACCGCGTATCAAGGGTTTACAATCCCGCCAACATCGCCATTCGAAAACCACTAGAGTACCAACCCTATCCAGGGACAAGCGCCGCTGACATGTTAGAAAGCTTCCTGAAGGGAATTCCTGGATTACCTCAAAGTCAGCTTTCTCATGATCCAGCAGGCTGTAGTGATGCCTTGCAGATAATCCATGGGTGCGGAATATCCAGGCGACTACTAGCACATCTCCACTGGATGGATTCAGCTGGAATTTTCGCTTACGGTGAGTCAATTATCAATCATTTTTGTGTGGCTCAATTCTTTATTTTTCTAGATATATAATTCACTCTCTGGGAGATATTCACCAACCATTTCACGCTTGTGAAACCTTTACCAAACAATTTCCTCGTGGTGATAAGGGAGGCGGCAAGGTCTGTCCTAATGTTAAGGTTCCAACGTTTTTGATCAGATTAAGATTGATTCTCGTCATGGACACTCAAACCTCCATTACTTTTGGGACGCGTGTGGACTTCCGAAGGAAAGCGGGAATGCCATTGCTAAGCGAGTACGCCAGGAGACAAACAGCTTCAAAAAATGATCTGACTCTCAGGCGACGAGGCTCATGAATCGCTACCCGAAGTCGCATTTTGGCCAGCGTTTGGATCTCAAGACATTCGAAGACGTCTCAAGAGAAACCTTTGATATTTGTACGAAGATCCACCCAGGTGTGATTCTGGCATCGTAGTAGTGGTCAGTCGTTCTGCTTCAGTCCGAAATTGGAACTCGAACGAACCTTATGGAAGGATGCCCATCACACTCTCCCCAAGTTATGTAGCTAATGTTAAGAATTTGTGTCAAGAGCAGATTGTAATAGCAGGTTATCGACTAGGGGAGGTGCTTTCCGCAATTGGTGAAGCGCTTGAGCGAGTCCCTGGAAAGAACCCAGCACCATCTCCTGCCAGATGCGAAGTCACTAGCGCAATCCTAATCGTTCTGTCGGGCGCTCTCTTCACGTTCTAACAGTTGAATGTTCTAGATTCAACTCTTTGATTCGGATTCTTCTTTCTGTCCGCCGCTGAAAACTTCATCCTTTGATTGGAAGGGACGAGATAGCAATGTTATGAGGACTCGCGGTTCCTGGAGTCCAAGTAGGCCTTCTTGATAGTCGGGATGTAGTTCCTCTTAGAAGTGGTTCGTTTATTTTTAAGGTTGTCTATATTTTTCGTTCTTTCTTTCTGTCAAACTATAGCCCTCAGCGTTCTGTGGGAAGCACGATGACTTGCGAAACGCTTTTGATGTTGCCGAGTTTGAGGGGGACTGCATCGGATCGTCCAATCTGTGCATCAGAGTCCATTCTAACGCAGTTTTGAAAGACGGGCGATTTAATGTCTTAGTTCGGTGACGTGACAGTCAACCCGGTGCAGAAAACGATAGTCACAACAAACGGAGTTGTGAACTCTAATACGGTCTAGCGACCAAATGGGCTTCGCTAAGGAATGCTTGATGGACCTGGTCACTTGCATGCAGAGGTCTTCCTGTCAGGACATGATGTTGTTTTTCGGCATCGCTTTGCTTTCCATCTGTTGGGGTGCAGATGCGTGGTTCTCGACGGTACGGTTTCAATCCCGACATTTCAATTCTGTTCGTTTCATTCAGGGACATTTTCTTATCGCCCAAATTGCGAAAACCAATCTCCCCAACTCTCAAATCAAATTAATTGAAGACCAGCTGATACATTTTGATGTCTTCTATCCAGGCGAGATCCGAATTTTCTTTTCTTTTCATGCTTCGGTCTTGCAGGGAAGTCAAGCATTGTCTCCTGTGCCAGTTGGGCTGACGATCTCAAGGATTCCGGAGTTTCACTATCTGTGGGTTCATGATTGATGTGGGAACAGTACATGTGCTTCCTTCCAGTTCTTTGATCCACTTCACCGCGTATCAAGGGTTCACAATCCCGCCAACATCGACATTAGAGCACCTCTGAAGTACCAACCCTATCCAGGGACAAGCGCCGTTGACATGTTAGAAAGCTTCTGAAGGGAATTCCTGGATTACCTCAAAGTCAGCTTTCTCATGATCCAGCAGGCTGTAGTGATGCCTTGCAGATAATCCATGGGTGCGGAATATTCGGGCGACTACTAGCACATCTCCACTGGATGGTTTCAGTTGGAATTTGCGCTTGCGGTGAGTCAACTATCATTTTTTTTGTGGCTCAATTCTTTATTTTTGTAGATATATAATTCACTCTCTGGGAGATATTCACCAACCATTTCACGCTTGTGAAACGTTTACCAAACAATTCCCTGAGGGTGATAAGGGAGGCGGCAAGGTCGGTTCTAATATTCAGCTTCCAAAGGCTCATTTCTTATCGTTCAGCTCACGCTTGATTCTCGTCATGGACACTCAAACCTCCATTACTTTTGGGACGCGTGTCGACTTCCAAAGGAAAGCGGAAACGCCATTGTTGATCGAGTACGTCTGAACGCCTTCGAAAAATGATCTGACTTACTTCAGGCGAATACCCTCATGAATCAGTACCCGAAATCGCATTTTGGAAGTCGATTGAATGTTCACACATTCGACGAGGTTTCGAGAGAAAGCTACGATATTTGTACCAGAGATGCACACCCAGGTATGCTCTCGCATCGCAGTAGTCCTCATCCATTCTGCCTTAGTCGTCAATTGGAACTCACAGGACCCTTATGGAAAACTGCCCATCATACTCTCCACGAATTATGTGGCAAATGTTGAGCGTCTGTGTCGAGAGCAGATTGTACTGGCAGGGTATCGCCTAGGGGAGGTGCTTTCCGCCATCGGCGACGCTCTCGAGGCAATCCCTGGGAAGAGTCCAGCGTTGTCACAGTCTCTGCCATATCCGTCACAATCTCAGCCACAGTCTCTGCCATATCCGTCACAATCTCAGCCACAGTCTCTGCCATATCCGTCACAATCTCAGCCACAGTCTCTGCCATATCCGTCACAATCTCAGCCACAGTCTCTGCCATATCCGTCACAATCTCAGCTACAGTCTCTGCCATATCCGTCACAATCTCAGCCACAGTCTCTGCCATATCCGTCACAATCTCAGCCACAGTCTCTGCCATATCCGTCACAACCTCAGCCACTGGTTGATTCACACCGAACAAGCCTCTCACCCGAGCTCATGTTCATGCTCATGCAGGACGCGCGAACACATCGAAGGTACAGAAGGAAAGATCACGGAAAACGAGACAAGAAACGAGAGAAGAAACGAAGAGAGAAAGATGACAAAAAGAGAGATGACAAAAAGAGAGATGACAAAAAGAGAGATGACAAGAAGAGAGATGACAGCAGGAGAAAGAGGGTGAGGACGTACTCGGTCTGAGCCCTTAGCTTGGTAAAGAATTTATATTTAAAATGTTCGAGGCAAGGGGTGATGAAGGAGTGATGTTGAAGGAATTTCAGGCGAAGCTTAAGGTTCCTCAGACTCAATTGAGAAGCGCTTTAGAAGAAGTCGGCCAGTACACATCTAGAGGAACCCAAAGGGCAAGGTGGTACCTCAAGAACGAATTTTCGGTGAAGGGAACAGGATAATTTTTTTTTTTGTGTTTATTTTATGTCTCTATGTTGATTCCGCTCGTTAGCGTGTATGTAGTATATATTTAACTGTGAACAAACTAGTCCATACGAGACACAAATGTTTCGAATCATGGACTCGTCAATTTCGATAAATTGGAACTCAAAATGAGAATCGCTGTTTCACATGCTTTCACATTAAGCGGCGTATTGCAGACTGTTTGCCTGATCACTATGAATAGATCAACATCTTTGTGTCTTTCTCCTGTCAGAGGTCTCAATGCGATATTTAAGTGTTCCCACTATCGATTTTATCATTCTGTGGAAAGTATGCTAGGGATAAACAAAAATGACGTTGCCGCATACAAATCGATATTCCGTGATCATCCCCTACGTCGACGGACCGACATCCCTGATGATTCACACCTATGGTCATTGTCGGGTCGTCGTGGTGGATCAATCGTCAACGCCATGGATATTCCTCTGATCTCTGAAATTGAGGAAAGTATTCCACGAAGTTACGACAACGAGAAAAAGAATCGAAAACTGTCGTATCCCGCACATCCAGTTGCGAAGTCGATGAAGTCGCTGGCCCGGTATCCTCTGAATTGGATGTTGAGACATATCGCTCTCCATATTGGGGTGGTCACCCAAATTGACGCTGATGCTGTTGTGATTGGGACAAATTCATCGCTTACAAGATATCAGTTTTCAACCCAGCATGTTTATAACCCGGAATCTGAGACAATTCAAGAGTCTGTTAACCCTAAAGGGAATTTCAAGTCAGTAGCACCAATCACTAAAACAGGAGACTGTCGAATCTGGCAGGGCACGAGCTGGAACAATTCATTCAACGAACAAGTTGAACTGCGCGGCTAGAGTCGCACTCCGAGTCGTTGAACCCAGTTATCCAAATGAACAAGAAT